CACTGCCCTGTGCATGGCCCACACCTTATTGTCTTCTAGCCCAGAAGTACTTACCAACTAGCATAAACAACAACAACAATGACAATCGTTTTTACAGCTAAGCCACAGCGCAGACAATAACTTCCCCAGCCCTCCCCCCGCTCTGCTGTGACTAGGCCAGCCTAGCCTTTGCCATTGCTGCGGGTGTCTCTGTTGCGTGTGTCGGCTGGAATGGGGTGAGGAGGGGGGGGGGGGGTTGGTTGGTTGGTGTAGAAGGTGGCGGGCTTACCAATTAAAATGCGCGACATCACATGTGCGCGAGCATTTATTATAAATTTTTCGTTGGAATTGACTGAAAAATAGTTAGTAAAAAACCAAGAAAAAAATAAACTAAAAAGCGGGAGAAAATAAATAAAAGCGGATAAAGAACAAGCAGAACATAAGAGCAGGGGGTTGACTAAATGAGTGCGGTTGAAAGGGTAGCGGGGGAGGGGGGGGGGGAAGGGGTTATTGTGCGGATCGGGCTGGTACAGTTGCTACCGTTGCATGCGCGACAACCCGCTCCGCTGTCCCCCCCGCTATATTCTGTGCATGTTACAATGTTGTTAATATGACGCTTAGTAGTTGTCTCACACATACTCACACACAAACACACACACACACATTCATGCAAACAAACACACGCTCACTCACACACACACACACACACACACGTACACACACGACAAAATATGCATTGACAATGTTTTTCAAATTGACGGCGCACAACAAGAGTGAGAGAGATAGAAGGATATGCTAAGTGGGTGGGGCTGTTGGGGGTGGGTGGCCATGCTGCATGATGCTTGGTGGGAGGGGGGGGGTCATGTTGGGGCGCGTGGCAAGCTGTAAAATTATTGGCATGCGAACGATGCTGCAACGTTTATTAAATTTTTGAAGTGCCGCAACAGGGTGAAGTGTTGCCAGGGGGAAACGGGGCTGCAGAAATATATATATATATATGTACATGTAATGTGCGCGTGTGTGTGCCATTTTATGTAGTATTAATTTTACAACTTGCATTTTGTAACTTGCAACATGAGCACCATATATCATTATTTGCAGCCAAATATACTTGATTTTCAGGCGTGTGTGTGCCTGTGTGTCTGTCTGTGTGCATGTATGCCGTGAGTGTGTGTGTGTGTGTGTGTGTGTGTGTGCTGTCTATCAGTTACATTTTTGATTGCTTTATAAAATGAGAACTGCTTTATTAATTTGTCATCAGCTTGATTATATTTTTATATAATTATGGCTTAATTTTATTAACTTTAATTTATCGCTTTAATTAAACGTTAATCAATAGTCTTTTAAATAAGTTAAACAATTTAATCGACAGCAATTTGCGTTTAACCCAGCGTTAAATGAGTTAACATTTGCGATTTTGTGTGTGTGTGTGTGTGTGTGTGTGTGTTAGTGTGTGTGCGTGCGTATCAAAGTTAACAATCACTTTAACATGTTGTTAAAATATAATAACTTTGCAGCGTTGTCAACTGTCAAAATTGAAAGTTAAATGTAAATAAGATATTTGTTAATCGACACTGCCAAATCTCCAGTTTAGCGTTGCCAAATAATTGAATAAGCGGTGCCAATGCTTTTTTCTAAAATGAACTTAACGTAATTTTGTTGCTGAAAAACTAAGCTTAAGATAAGCGTTTATTTATCTACATTTTTCTAAATTCGAATAGCCATCCAATTGCTTTTACCTAGTGTTGATAAACGAGTTAATAAACAAATATTATTTAGCTGTGTTGATAAACTATCTAAGAAACTTTTTCTGTCAAAATCATATGCTAAATATTGCATTAAAAGTAAACAAGTTGAGCTAAAAATAGCTATTGAAACAATTTTATTTTCTGCGCTCTATGCTGTTGTACATTCTCCTTTATTGATCGAAAACTTTATAAATCGTTGCTCTTAGCACAATTTACCGACCCCTTTTTAAAGGGTTTGTCAAGGCCAAAGAATGTGCAGTGTCTTGAGTCTATTGAGTGCGCCCCACCGTAGCAAGTAAGTTGCTGCAGCAGACACACATGGATTTCAAAATACCCAAATACATTGTCTAATATTTGTGGATGCTCGGGCGGAGCGTTTGCAGCTTAACTGTCGTCTGGGGGTCTCAAATTTGCTTTCTGCTTCCAGCTACACTTGCAACATGCCGCACTTCATTGCAACTAAACAAGTTTGCTAACTATTTGAGTGAGTTTTCATGCGTCGTTGCCGCCGCCGACGCTGCTATTCTTATACTTATTTGGTTTTCTGTCTATAAACATGTATATGTGTGTGTGTGTGTGTGTGTGTGTGTGTATTTTGTATTTGTGTGTGCATTAGCGAGTTGTTGCAAAAACGTAAGGCTAAGCAAACCAAAGAGTAAACACAAGACAATGAAGTCTGAAATAGGAACTGCACATATCCACTCTACTGTCTGTGTGTGTGTGTGTGTGTATCTGTGTGTAACTCCATATTAAGCCGAGTCACAAACATAGATGGTAACTGCAAAATACTTAGTATCGGTATCTGTAAGTTACATATTGCTAAGCAGCTTAAGATTTGAAAGCTTCAAAGTGCTGTCAGGGCTAATGAGTTCGTTCAACTTGTTCAACAAATAAAAAACAAACATCTATTTAGCATAAGGCTATTTTACGCTGTTGCCAAACTGCATGCTGCGCTATTGCCAAACTTCATTGTATTTCTGAGAAATTTTCTAACCTCAACAGATTGAGTTTGTGTCCAGCTTTAATTTTAAGATCTTTAGACTCTCAAATACACTACATTTCTACTTAGCCAAACTTCTATGCAAAGTGCTGTCTTTTGTATTTATTGCCAGCAATTTGTTTATAATTAAATAGAAAACACTCATCAGCATACGATAGACTGTTGCCAATTTTCAGAGCCTGTTTTCAATCTTCGAAGCGTCATTGGCAGATTTTAGTCTTCAGAGCATTCCGTGCATTGTCGACAAATTTGATTAGAGTCCACCTCTTTCTCAAGCCCTTTGCCTATGACTGGAAACTATTTGCTTTGAACTTGTCAGCAAAACGTTGGTAAATAACTAACACGCAGTAGACAAACTTCAGTGGCTCCTTCAATATTCAAAAGAATTGTTGCATTGCATTGTTGTCACATTTCAAAGTGTCGTTTTAAAGACTTTGCCTTGTTGCCAAACTTTTATTGGAAACTGTAGCAGAGCGTTCGAAAATAATAATTCAATACGCTGTAGGCAACCTTCATTGCCGTGTTGCCAATTTTCAAAAGAAATTTTCCAAAGCATTGCTGCCACATTTGAAAGCCGCAAATTGTCAACATTGTCAAAGGCAATCCAATCCCATTGAAAATGCGTGAAGCTTCAGGCGCTCTAGTTGGGCATGTCCGGCTCTCTAATTGCTGACCAGTTGCACTCAAAGAGCCATTTGCGAGGTTGCCGAACTTCAATTAGCAAACAATTTTGTTGTAAAGTGCAGTTGGCCAAGGCAACAGAACTCAAAACTGTGCCCTCAAGTGCACATTTTGTCAAATCAAAAACGGAATTTGAATTTCAATCAACTTAAATTAAATCAAAATTTGTAAAATGAAGTGCAGACGCACATACACACACACACACACACACGCATGCATAACCATTCGAGAGTCACTCGATGACTTCAACTGAAACCCTCAACTTCAATTCCAATTTCATGGGCAGCTGCCAGTTGTCGTCCTTTTCGTTCTCGTCTTCCTAATCAGCACAAAATTTGAATATAATTCTCATGAATGCCCCGAGAGTTGTGCTCCGGTCTGGTCTTGGATACCAAGGGTCTTGGCCTTGGCGCACCCTACGACCACAGCAGCAGCATCAGCAGCTGCAAATGGGTAGCCAGCTGTAGCAGCTCAGAGCTGGAGTTCGGGTTGAAGTTGAAAGTTGGAGAGCCTTTATGGCCACAAAAATTCACAGCAAAGAAAAGTCGACAAATGCACTGGTCCTTCTTCTTCTTCTTCGTCGTCTTCTTCTTCTTCCACTTGTTGTTGTAACCTGCATGTGCTTGAAAAGCCATCATCTGACTGGAGACTTTGTAACTACGGTCTATAGCCTTGATGGTCTGTTCGGTTTTGGTTTTGGCTCAGACACAAAACCGCACAAAAGATGAAAGGCCAAACTCTTACACTTTGATGATTGAAATGGCGTTCTTCTTCCTCAGCTCAAGCTGAAAACTAACATGTTAAGCTTTATTTTTTTTTTCTATTTGTTTTTTCTGACTGTCTCTAACAAATGTTGTGTGCCACATTCAATTTGCCAATGATGGCCATAATTGCTGGGACTTTTGCACAAAAACTGAGTACAAATACGGGCAACTGCCCGGCTTGATTAAAAATTGCGCACACGTAATCGCAATTGACGCCCCAGATTCGCGCACCTGTTGTTGCCCTCATTCTGGCAGATGAGTTCCACCCAGTTAACTGACAACTTCGCCTTGTAGTTGTAGTTCTACGCTTTGCTCAGTTCTCGAATTCCCCCAATTCCCATGTTACTGGGCTCTGGCTCCATGGACAGCAGCTGCCCGTTCGCTTTTAGTTTTTTGTTCCTTTTTGTCTCAATTGCATTTTGCGCACGTTTGCCTTTGCCATGCCGTTAAATTAACGCTAGATTTTAATCTAACTTATATTATGAAACAATATAAAAGTATTTTTCATCTGCATATATTATGCGATATTATAAGCAATTTTTATACCAGGTTTGGTGCATTTAGCCGTGTCTCGAAATCGATATTTATCGATAGCATAGAAATAGTAGCAGACATCGATAAGAATAACTTGATAACGATAACTCGTTCTACGTATGGGTTCGATATGATCCAAAACGTTTTGTAGCCTCTTATTACGTAGGGATTGTATGGAAAAGTGTTTATTGGACAACTGAACCGGTTCTGTGACCTTATAGCTGGTTCGGAGTGTGATTTGATAGTTAGTGTAGCCCATAATGATGCGCTTTTAACAGAGTTTTTTTCTTGCAGCTGCCGTCGCTTGCCTAAATGTCTGACGAAGTGCCTTTGGGACGTTTATCGCAAATTTTTGATACACTTACCAATTTACAACAACAACAACTCCAACAACAACAACAACAGCAGCAGCAACAACAACAACAGCAGCAGCAGCAGCAGCAGCTGCAGCTGCAGCATCAGGCGGCGGCAGCGGAGCAGCGTCGACGTTCGGCCTCCTCATCGCCGTCACCGTCAGCGAGTGCCTCAGCGTCGACTTCGGGCCGTGCCACGCCCGCCGCAGCGCTGGGCGTGGCCGCCACACAGACGCTCTATTATACGCACACACACAACTACTTTCTGCGACCGCAAGATGGCGCCAGCTACCTGCACACGTTCCCGGCCTCGGCCGCCGCGCAACATTCCTCTCACTACTATCAGCAGCAGCAGCAGCAGCAGCAGCAGCAGCATCAACATCAGCTGCAACTGCAGCATCAGCTGCAGCAGCCACCTTCATTGCCCACCCATCTGCCGGGGCGGCTGTCGGGCTCCGGCTCTGGTTCGGCGCCCGGTTCCGGCTCCGGCTCTGGGTCACAGTCGTTGCACGGCTCGCCGCTGCTGGCCAAGCGCGCCACCTCGTTTAGCGGACAGATGCCGTTGACGCGCGCCGCCCAGCTGCATGAGGCACGCCTTGTGGCCGCCTCGACGCCCAACAGTCCGCGTCTGATGCCGCGACGTGTGCCACGCCCGCCGCCCATACCGGCCAAGCCGGCCAAGGAGCTGCAGCCGAACACAGCAGCAGCACCGGTGAATCCTGTGCTAGCCGCCCTCGATGCACCCGACGCGCCCTGGCCGCATTTCTCTACGCTTACCGAACATCTGAACGTGCATCAGCTAAACAACTATGGACAGGCATTGCCCGAGGTGCGTTCCAGCGAACTCAGCTCATGAAAGTCCTGCTGACTCTCTCTCACTCTCCCTTGCAGATCAATTGGCAGGAGCGCTGCTTGGAGCTGCAGTTGGAGCTGCATCGCTCCAAGAACCAAGCTGGTCGGATTCGTGATATGCTGCGCGAAAAGGTAAGTCCAAATACTTTTCCATTAAACTCTATCTGAAACTGTTGAGCATGTGAAGGCCAAATTGAACTGGTTTGGTTCAGCGATCCACAGCACTAAATCTTTTCATTATAAACTCAAAAAGTGAAAATGTGAAAGAGCCCATTTTATATTCTATTATTATTATGTCTGGCAGAAGCCGCTAGCGTTAAATGTGACAAAAACTTGCGGCTAGGCAATACTAGCAGCGAACTGGTGCTGGAACTGGCATAAAACTGGTTCAATAGAATTATTTTGCACTTAGTTCAGTGTTCTTTCGCGCCGCAGATACAATTACACTGTAAAAAAATGCGGTTCTCAAATGTTAAATATCTGAATTATGTATACTTTGATAAAAATGAGCGCGGCTTTAATGACCTTAATAAAGTGGAACTGGTTCAGTTCATTGTTTGGTTGCAGATTATCTTTCTCTTTGCTTATGAGGAGCCCAATTTGAGAATTAATTGAAAGAATGTACTCTAAAGAGCACTATATATACATCTAAATTCGCATAAAGTGAATAAAAAACTTGTGAACTGGTTCCATTTACGGCTTGTTTTAGAACAAGTTCATAATGGATAAGCGTATGCGCCGTGGGCAATGGGGACGCTTGGGGACTTGTTGATTAGCGTAAATGAGTTAATAAGTGAGCATCAAGAAGAAGATGAGCAGAAAAAAAATAAAATAACAAGCACAAAGTGACGCACAGACACATTAATTACACACACACACACACACACACGCACAGACTTGCGCTTAATGATGATTTATGGGGCCCATGGTTAAAACATTTTTATGACGGCCCCTTACAATTATCAGGCCAAAAGCTAATCTACTTGCCAGGAACAGAGCTCTCCGCTCAGAACTCCCTTACTTGCCCGTTGGCTAATTTGTAGCGGAAATAGTGCAGCTGTCTGTTGACAATTTCTACACACGGGTGTGTGTGTGTGTGTGAGTGTTTGAGTCCTTTTATGATTAGCCTAATTAAGTCATTAGGCATTTGGCCAAAATGAAAGCAGCAGCAGCAGCAGCAGCCCCCGATCCGCGCCTGCTCACCTCCAGCTCCAGGGAGCTCGCAGCGATATGCGATGCCATTGTCATTAGGCTTATTGGCAGCGCCATCTAGCGGCGCAGTAATGCAAAAACTATATGAATTATTAAAATGTGTCTGTGTCTGTGTGAGTGTGTGTGTGTGTGTGAGGATTACTTTCATCTCTGCAAACATGGCACATGTCGTATACACTTCATATGGTTACATGGTCATGATTCGTGACATAAATTAATTACACTTCAATGATTTTTGCTGCATGAATTATGCATTATGCTGAGCGCGCCCATACTTAATGCCCATTTTGGGTGTATGTATTTTGTGTAACGATCTTTTTCAATCACAATAAAATGTATGAAATCTCCAGCTCAAAGTTAAACCAGTGAACCAATGAATAAACATGTGCAACATTGCTGATATTTTCATATTTGTACGCGTTCTTTTTTCGGTTTAAATGTTACGTTATTCATATATAAATTACCCAGCCTTGCACGGCTACTAAACTGAGGCTGTGGAAAATTTCAACATTACACTTCCGCTTTTGACATTTAGTGACATTTTAGAAAGACATCTATATGAGTTTCAAACGCAAAACTAAACTTTTGCTCATCAAAAAGACTTTTGCTCATCACGCAGACTATTTCAGTGATCGAGAATGGACTATTTTTGGCGTAAGGAACTGATCAATCAGATTGTAACTAATCTGTCGATATAGTCAGACATACCCGATGACTGTCTTTCAGCCAGAACCAATATACTCTTGATAAGCCCATAAACAGAGTATAAAGGAAAACGCAATCACACGTTTTCAGAGTGCTATTTGCAAACTTTTGGCATCTATAATAAATGTGCCGAGCCAAATAGAGTCTTGACACATTTGCAGCAAGTTGGCAGCTTGGCAGCTAGCAGCAGGTATGCCGCTCGCCTTTAGCTTGTCTCCCCCCCATCGACAAGCACCCCTTTCTTATATTCTCTTTGTGCCGCTCGAGAAGTTAACAAATAACCCGAAATGACCTCTTCAAAAGTTGCTCACTTCCAGCTTCTGCATTGTTGTTTTCATTATGTTAGGCGACGTTGGTGTCAAGGTGTGTGCGCGTATCTGTGTGTGTGTGTGTGTGTGTGTGTGTGTGTGCGTGTGTATAGGCATGTGTGTGCATATGTGCAGCGCCTATTGCTATGCAATGGAAACTTTGCAGGCCATTGTTGATATTTGCCCGGCCAGCGCGGGTGGCAGGAATGTTGTGAATGAAGTGAGTATGGCGAATGCATTCGTTTGCTTTGTGCATTGTCGCATGTCGCTTTTAATGAAAGAAATAAAAACAAGTGTGAATCGTGTGCAGCCAACTGAGCCATGCCCGTTCACAGTACCACGAACAGTTTAAAACATATATCGATTATTTCGATAAATATTTTACTATCGATCTCAAGCGGTGCTCATTCTATTGCGAGTGGAATGAATGATCTCTTTAGTGCAATTCATAGATTTGCCACGCCATGCACAATTATGTTGGCCAAGCCCAATATACCCTCTTCAGTTTGCGAGTGAGCATCAAAAATTGAATGTGAATACTAAAACTTGTTTATGACAAAAAGCAAAAACTTCAAGAACCTTTGACCTGAACCCCAGAAATGCTGCTGCTGCACTTTTCAATATTTAATTGGCAGCAAATTTTGCAAAGCAGTGGACAAAAAAATATATATATAAATAAATATCAAAGCAAAGCAGCGCCGGATATGAGCACAAACAACTAGAGGCATGATCGCACTTGCGCTGCTCGACTTGCAGATGCCCTGTATAAAGTTTTCACAAGAAAAAATAATAGAAGCTTTGTATTTATAATCATTAATAGATTTTGATTTTATTTTGTAGAGTAAATTCAATCTAACTTAATATTCCATACATAAATATAATAGGTTTTTAAAGAAATTTTTAAAAATGAATAATTTAAGCATTTTGTATAAATTCTAAGTACTTTAAGTATTAATTTTGTAAGGAAAATTGAATTTAATTAATTTTTTTTATATTTTATTTAATTATTTTTCGCAAAAATGCATGAATAGAGCTTATTCTACTTAGATATACTAGCTATCTGGGAATTAATGGAACCCCTAGAGCCGGCCTGTTTTAAATTTTAGTTTAAGTATCAACTAACTAACTAAAGTGTTTAAATTATGCAGAAATTGGTCTAGTTAGCTTTATGTTGCGCCTTTTTAAAGGTTTTAAGCGTCAAAGTAAACTTGTTATTAATCGTATTCGCAACACGAATTGGGGCTAACGTGTGATAGAATTAGGATATGCCGCTGCCAGGTCATGTTACAGGGTATTCAAAAATATCAGAGCAGAGCCAAATTGGATATCAACGCAAAATGAGAAATATAACAACTCGAACGACTAAAAGTATGCAATGAATATTTTATTTGTGTTTTATGCATTTGCCATTTGCCATTTTTGCTATTTGCTGTTTGCTGTTTGCTGCTTGCCTTTCGCCTTTTTCATTGCCCATTTTTATGAGCTCTTCTATTTTTGGTTGTTTTTGCCGCCTGCCACACAACTTGGAACTTTGCAACTGCAGCTGCAGCAGCTTTCAAGTGCAGCACATTTTTGTCATCATAAATTTTAAATTAGTTGCAGCAAACTTGCAGCCCCGACCGCCTTTTGCAAACATTATGTTTATTTATAATTTATTTTGTATATTCTTTTCATTTTATTTTACCCATGGCAAAGCCCATTTATAAAAACTAAGCAAATCTGCCGAGAAAAACCTTTTATTATTTATATTTTTGAGTGCTCATAAAATGCAAATTTTCCAGTCAAGCACAATTTTCGGCTGTCGCTCACTTTTCATAATGTCACAAGTTGAAGGACGGGGACAGGCTATGGGAATGGCAAGGGGCGCACCGAAAGAGCAATCAAAAGAGGCGTTAAGCTAAAAACCACAACATCGACTGGGCTAGCAAATGTTTTTTGGCAACAATGTGCAAGACGTGAAATTATGGCCAAGCATATTGCAACATTCTTGTACGACAATAAAATTCAAGTTTATTGCCAAGCCACCCAGCCAGCCAGTTCCAGTCCCGGCCCCGGCCGCAGTTCAGCCCAATCCATGTCGAAGTTCACAGTCGTCCGAGCCAAACAACTGGCCCAACCGGGCAAAGAACTGTGCCGAAAAGAATACCGAATGAATAAAGTTTTACGTAGCTGGGCACACAATATCCCATACCGAATGAATAAAGTTTTACGTAGCTGGGCACACAATATCCCATATCGTTGTATTTGCCGCTGCGACGTTGCCAAATTTCGCGTTTTTAACACTAAGTGAAAAGGTTGTCTTCAACTAAATCTTATCATGAATGAAATATTTAGACATCCATGGGCCATTGTAACGGTGCTTCAGTTTACTTTGAGCTAAAATTTACAGTTTTGGAGGTTGAATTGAATTGAATTGAATGTGGCCAAATTTCACTGAATATAAGGTTTGACAACATTGCCAATTTTCATATTTTTCTAGCATACTTTGCTAGCGAATAAAGTAAGACAACCATCATAGCGTTTACGAAACTCACTCGCAGCGAAATATTGTATCGCAGTGTTGTATTATCTAAACAGCACGATAGTATTGATGTACTAAGATTGCTGCAACGTTGCCAAATTTTACTGCTCACTGCAACGTTGCCAAACTTTAGATTTCGTCATTTGCGCGTTACTGTTCATCTTGTTTCAAATCTTATGAAATCTTTATTCAAGTGACCAAGTAACTAGACTCCATTCAAGCGGTCGCTTATTGTGCTCGAATCCCTAGTTTATTGTTTCGCAAAGTTCAGCTGAAGCTTCTTAGCGTTTTGCTGGGTTGAAGTGTACTTTGCCGCGCCGTGCTGGACTATAGACAACGGCTTTCTAGTGTTAAGGCAAGTTTTTAAGATATTGCCCCGGCATGGC